CCTGGCCATCGCTCGGACGTCAATTCCCTGTGTTTTTTTTTTGTTCGGTTTCGTGCGTGTTTTTTTTTTCGCCAAGTGCTCAAGAATGGAGGAGGAGGAGGAGGAGGAGGAGGAGGAGGAGGCAGGAGGAGGAGGAGGAGGAGGAGGAGGAGGAGGAGGGCAGGAGGGGGGAGGGGGAGGGGGAGGGGGAGGGGGAGGAGGAGGAGGAGGAGGAGAGGAGGAGGAGGAGGAGGAGGAGGAGGAGGAGGAGGAGGAGGAGGAGGAGGGTCCTCGCCGAGGAAAAAAAAAACACGCACACGTCCGAGCGATGCCGAGGAGCCGCCCGAGGCCCCGGCCGCGGAGGCCGCGGGGCGCCCCCGCCTGGGTAGGGCGGCAGGTGCCCCATGAAGCCCTGCAGCGAGTCGCTGCAGGAGTGCTGCTGCAGGGCCCTGGGCGCGCGCGGAGGCCGCGCGCCGCAGCTGGGGCCCCCCCGTCGTCGCCGTCGTCAACGTCGTCGTGGTCGCCGTCGTCGTCGTCGTCGTCGTCGTCGTCGTCCTCGTCCTCGTCGCCCCCGTCGTCTTCATCCCCGTCGTCGTCGTCGTCGCCGTCGCCGCCCGCGGCCGTGCGCCGCAGATCGGAGCAGCGGCGGGGCCGTAAGGGGGACAGCAATAAAAGGGGGCCCCAGGACACGCAAACAAAAATACACACAGAGATAACCAGATTCCCCATGGTTGTCCCATCTGTTGGGGGCGTTCGTCTTCCCCCCCCACTTCCCGTATTTTCCTCGTCTCCCCCCCCCCCCCCCCACTTCCCATCTGTTCCCATATCTTCTGGGGAATCGACGACTAATTGTGTCTGTGTGATTTTTTCTCTCCTGAAACGAGGTGGAACCCTTGACTCCGCCACCCCTCTGGAAGAAGAACAAACGGCATACCTAGCCCGACCCCCCCCCCCTCTCTGGCGCGCGGAGCGCGCCAGGGGCGGCGCCGGAGGCGCCGCTGGGGGGGCCCAGCGCGGATCCAGGAAATCTGCGCGGAGCGCCCTAAGTTTATGTTCATGGCGTGTTTTCTTCTTCGATCCACCCCAGATTCATAGATGGGCCCAGGCATTCGGTGGCACAGGTGCGAGAGGACAAAACAAAAATGTAGAAATCCCGAGCCTCCGCGAGGCCCGACCCAGCGGGGAGGGTGAGCGGGGGGGCGAACACGGTGTCGAACCCCAAAGGGTTCCACATTCTTATACCCTTACCGTCCCTAGTGGCTTCGCCGCGCGAATCCGCTGCAGAGTATGTGGAACCTTTCTGTCCCCTTGCCATCCCTGGCGGCTTCGCTGCGCTAATCCGCGAGGACCATGAAGACCAGAGTGGGGAGTGCCGTGGAACATTCAGGGCCCCGTAGACCTGGACACGCTAGACCCGGACACCCAATATCCCTCGAAACCAATTTTTCCAAATGGCGGCACGAACAAAATACTGCACTGCAGCACTTCCAGAATAAACCCGGACACAGGCCCCAAAAGCCTGCAAGACCCCCCTTAACCCGGACACGCACCCGAATCCTGCAGTGCAGCAAACAAAATATGCACGGGTGCTGAAAAACGTGACTTTGCAGGAAAGGAGGTCGTTTCCTTGGTTTTCCGTGTCCTGGTTTATCTGTGTCCTGGTCCCTGGGGTCCTGAACACACGCGAGGACCGTGGGGACCGGGAAGAGATACAGAGGGTCGCAGTCGTCACGGCCCTTACATGTCTTACCGCACGCTTCCCGCTGGCCCCCACGGTCCCCACGGCCGTGGCGGCGTCGTCGGGCTCTGCAGGCCAGGCCCGTTGCTCTCCAGAGCCCCATGATCCGCAAGATATAGCAGTCGTGGCACTTAGCGAGTGCGGCTTCTGTCCACGCCAGGGTCGCAGGGCAGGGCTGGTGCGGCGCTTTCTCGGCACCAGTGAGGGAGAGCGTGCATGGCGTGGCCCCTGAGCGCGGTCGCAGTCCACTCCAGGTCGCAGGGCGTTTGAGGTGCAGCACGCTCGCGACCCATAGAGGGTGCGCAGGGGCCGGTCCTTGAGCGCAGTCTCTGTCCATGACAGGTTCGCAGGGCGGGGCAGGCGGGGCCTGACGCCGAGAGGGGGTGCGCAGGATTCCGCCCCTGCACGCGGAGCGCCCCAGATCGATTTTTGTCAACCGTTCGTAGCCGCTCGCAGAACCATCGAAGCCCAAGACACCCAGGGCACCCTGGAGGCGAGCAGCGTGTTTCTTGGCATTGGTTTCCGCCGTGTCCACATCCACCGCCTGCCGCGGTCCGCGCAGGTCGAGCCCCCGGGCTCGAGTGATCGGCGTTTTTGCTCCGCCTCCCTGGCCAGGCCGAGGAGGGCCTGCGCACCGAGCCCAGGGCTGGGATCGGCGAGGTAATCGGCTGCCGTCGGCGAGGTGGTCGGCTGCCGTCGGATGGACGAATCCCCGCCTCGGCGCAGCAGCAACAGCTGTGGGCGCGCCCCACATCCCTCCCGAGCGAGGCCGAACTGGGGGAATCCACCAGGCACCGGTACCGCCGAATACTTCTCAGACCTCTCCGGGGGTGCGTTCTGACCAAGATTTCGATGCGAATCCAGCCGTGGTGACGAGGGCCTCCCCGGAGGCCCACACAGGCGAAAACGAGGGAAGGGTAGCCGCTTTCCTCCTGACGTGCCCGCCGGTTCAAGGTCGTCACCCGACGCGTGCGTAAGCGGTCCGCCGCCGCCTTCCCTCCCATCATCCTTCCCCCTCTTCATCCTGCCCCGCTTCACGGTCGGGAACTCTTGGATAGCGTAACGCTCTGACCGTTCTGGCCCACCTCTTCTCGGGGGCGGCAAAGAGGGGGGCGTCCAAGAGGGGGGGGCGCAAATCATGACCGGCGGCACGTGCGCGGCCCAGCGGGGGGGGCCAGGGACGTCGTGAAACGAGAAGAGGCGCCATGACATCTGGGGAGATCTCGTGGCCCCCGCCATGAGATCCCCCCCCCCCTAGTCATCACCCCCCTCTTTTCCGCCCCCGATCCTTCCGGCGCCACACAATGTCCGACTCCAGGTCCCCGGGCTTCCACGCCCCGGGCCTCTTCCGAGCCCGCCGCCCCGCGGGGCGCAGCGACACCGCGCTGCCCGCTCGCGAGGCACGGCGCGCCGCTGGGGCTGCTGCCGCCGCACGCTGCCCAGGCGCTCCCCGCCGTGGCTCCTCGTCTCCCGACCTCCTCCCCCAACTGCTGCGTCGTGCAGCTCCGTGCTCGATGCCCCCCGGTTGCCCCCCCCCGCGCGCGGCGCGCGCGCAGCTGGCCATCGCTCGGACGTCCACTGCCTGTGTTTTGCTGTCGGGTTCGTGCGCGGCTTGTTCGCCAAATCATCAAGCATGCTCCTCGAGGGTCCCCACCGAGGCAAAAATGCACACGTCCGAGCGATGCGAACGCGCGGGGGCGGCGCGCCCGATGATGTCGCGGGCGGCCGTCGCGTAGCACGGCGCGTTGGCGGCCGCGGCGTAGTGCGCGAAGGCCAGCGCGGCCCACGCGTTGTTGCCTGCCGCCGCCGGCGCGGCCGCGCGGCCAAGCGCCACCCCGCGGGGGCAGCCGAGCGCGCGCGCAGGCGCGCGCTGCCCTGCCCTGGACGGGTTCCCCCGGGGGCCGTAGGCGACCCGAGGAGGGGAGGGCGAGGAGGGGGAGGAGGAGGAGGAGGAGGAGGAGGAGGAGGAGGAGGAGGAGGAGGAGGAGCAGGCAGAGGAGGAGGAGGAGGAGGAGGAGGAGGAGGAGGAGGAGGAGGAGGAGGACGGGTCGCCTAAGCCCTTCGGAGAAACCCTCCACTCTGGCACCCCCCCCGCTCTTCGCCCGTCGACGTGCGCGGCAAGAGTGGCCCGGCAAGAGCGGCCCCTGCTGCTGCTGTTCGTCCTCGCCCTCCTCCGTCCGCATCGTCCTCCATTTCTAGAAGAAGAGAAACTACATAAACATAAACTTTTGGCGCGCGCGCCAGGGAGGGGGGTCCAGCGCGGATCCAAGAAATCCGCGCGGCGCGCGAAAAGCTTATGTTTATGACGTTTTTCTTCTTCGACATCATCCTCCCCTTCCTCTCGGGGATGGACAGACCCCCCTTTAGTAGGCCTTAGTGCAAACGACCTGAGGCCCAAACCTGGCGGGCGCAAGCCTGGAAAATGACGGCCACGGCGCCCTCTCGAGAACCGAACACGGACAACTCACTAGTCGACGTGTCACTGTTGGGGGTTCTGTCCACCCCCGATCCTGCCGCTCGCCCTCCTGCGCACCCACCACCACGCTCGGCGGCTCCTGGGTGAGCCCTCGTGGGGGCCTCCGTGGGCCTCCGCGGCCCCGTCGTGCACGTGATGTCGACCAGACTTCTCCAAGGTTCGACCACCACTCTTCACGATTTCGTTCAAGCTTCGTCCAACATGTCTCCAAACGTCGCCCAAATCCGACCCTATCCGGATGACACCTCCCAAACCGCAGGGAATCGTGGGACCCTCGGAGGCTCCCATTGGAAGGACCACGCGGCAGCTCCCCTCCTCGCAGTGCGCGTGACGCGATGGGGGTCGTTCTGTGGGAGTTCCAGGTCGGCTTTGACGCGCCGTCCGCGGATGCAGAGAGACCATCCATACGCAATGAAAAGAGAGCGGAGGGAGAGATACGTGGTATGATCTGACCCCCCCCCGCAGGTAAGACAAAGCCAGGAGGAGGCTGCATTCGGGCGAGGACGAATCGAGGACCTCCAAGATCCGGCGGCTCTGGAGGATGTACACGCAGCCCCCGCGGGTGGGAGGGGTTTCCCCCTCCTCCAGTCCCCACGTCGCGAGACTCCCCCCCCTCCTGGCCCAGCCACGCGAAGAGGACGCTTGGGTGCCGTTCGGGATGAATACGTTGTTGATCTGAGGCATGTCAGAAGCTTGTTGTGGTCTTGTGGGGGGAGCCTCTTGGAAGGCTCCCGAGAACCAATTGGAGGCTCCTTGGAGCCTGTCGAAGCTCTTTGGAAGCATTTTGGGGGGGCCATCTTTTTTTTTTTGCCTTGGAGGCTCATGACCACGTTGCTGTCGGGTCATTGCCACGGTCTTAGGCAGACGAGAAGATCGAATTCGGCACTATTCAAACGAAAATTGAAGAGAAGAGCGCGCCAAGATTGGGACAGAATTGATGAGCTAACTCGTGCACGCAAAGACAACCAGAGTCGGTGCCTATACTTTCCAGAAGGCAATTGCCTCTTGAGTGTTGGAAGAGAAGGAGGTGCAGGAACAGGAGGAGGAAGAGGAGGAGGACGGCGACGACGGAGAGAGCAGCTGATGCTACGGCTCCCCGCCATAATGCACATGTGAAGGTAATTGCAGCAACAGCGTGCAGAGCTGCTGGAATTGTACATTGTCTGGCGTGTCTTAAAGACGCTGGCACAAAAATGCGAGTCTGCTAAAGCGAACGCGTGCAGTCCCCTAAGTTTCATTGGAAGACAGGAGTTCTGACGGCTTCGCACGCGAAGCAGGAACGGGCGAGCGCGAGCAAAATTCGACGAGGCTGCCGTGGAGCTATATGCTCGGCGATCGCGTAGAGCGCTATCATCTGTTGATCCCATTCAGGCAGCTCTTAACCTGCTCGGGGGTCTTGTAGAAGTGGAAGGCTGCGGCCCAAGAGTCAACGCAATCATTCTGCGCGGCGTACTTGTCGTACAGCAGGGCGTAGTCCGAGATGTGGCGGAGTCCCAGGGTATCAAGGCACAGCTTCATCCAGTAATCCTCTCCGCCCGTATGGCCAATCTTCGCGTCGCACTGCCAGTTGTTCTCGAAGAACACCTGGGCGCCCTCCCGGCTCATCATCTCGAAAGCGCCCATGAAGTTGAACCTGAACGCGGTGTTCCTGAAGTAGACGGCAGCGCCAGCGGGCGGCTTGAACTGATTGATATGGGCCTTGACACGGTCCGCCATGAAGACGCAGTCTGCGTCGGCCTTGATCACCCAGTCGTGCAGCATGTAGCGGCCGTCCTCCTTCACCTTGCCCCAGTACTGGATGAAGGCGTCGATGTTCGCCTCGGAGCCTGAGCTCACCCAGCCCTCGATCACCAGCTGCTCGTCGCAGGAGTAGACGCTCGACGACGTCTCCTTCATAGTCGCCACCAGCGCCCCCTCGTCCTCCTGCACCCCGGCGGAGGCGCGCGCCCCGGGCATCATCACCACAAAACAGAATAGAGAGGTCGGGTGGGCCAGCTTCCCATCCTCGACGGCGGGGAGGTCCTCATCGGAGGGCCCGTAACCAAGGATCTCGCCGTCCCAACCACCCCCTGGCTCCGCAGCGCAGCCCGCGAAATTCTCGTCCTTCCTGATGCACTTGAAGTACTCGCACTTGCTAAAGTCCCACGTGCACGTCTGCGAGCCGCAACACCTGCTCTCCTGGCAGTCGTCGCCGCCGAAGCCACACGGGACGGCACCGAAGTTGTCCCCGACCCAGGGCTTTTGCTCGAAAACCTTCTTGACCTCCCCAACCAGGTAGTCGGTCTGCTCGAGAGTGCCGCACCACGAGGCGTTGAAGTCGTCGCGGAAGTCGTAGACCTCGCCGCGCTCCTCGAACAGGTGGCACGGATTGCCGCCCTCTGGCACACCGACGTAGGAGAAGGTCGCCTGAATGCAGGAGGCGTGCGACTTGCACCACTCCGTGCAGGCCGACATGCTGTCCATCTTTGGGTACCAGCCAGGCTCTACCTGGCGGCGGAACTCGTTCTCGCTGGCCCCAGGGCGCATCCTCACCCCAGGGAGGTCAACGCAGGCGCGGCTGCTCGCGGCCTTCTTCAAGGAGGCCTCCTCTGCCTCCTTGGCAGCGGTCTTCTGGTCCTGCGCCTTGGCCTGGTCGCTGGTGGCACCGTCGAGGTCCTTCTTCGCCAAAACAAGGTCGCCCTCTGCCTTTTCCTGCTGCCTGGAACCCTCCTCGGCATCCTTCAGCGCCTGCTCGCGCAGAGCCTTGCCTTCCTTGATCTGGGCCTCCGCGTCCTTGACGCCCCGCTTCGCCTTCTGGACCGACTCCTTGGCGTCTTGGATCGCCTGCTGCGCCTGCTTCACCCGATCCTCGGCGAGCTCGCCGCGCTTCTTCGCGGCCTCCCTGGCGTCGCCCGCGGCCTTGCCCAGCTCCACGGCCTCCGCCATGCTGTCCTCGGCTGTCCTCGGCTCCTCGCTGCCCTCGGACGCGCCGGCCTGCTTCCCCATGCCCGGGAGCATCACCAACGCCTCCCTCTCGGGCGCCTGCTCCGCCTCCGCGATGAGGGCCCCGCGCGAGGAGCCCGTGGACCGCACTGGGCGGCCGGGGGCCCCCGCCAGGAGCAGGGCGAAGGCCAGGCCCGCCGCCGCCAGCGCCGCCGCGACGGCCCACGCCCGCCGCGGACGCGAGGCGCTGCTCGGAGCGGCCTCGCCGGGATCGGACTCGCTCTCGTCGAGCACGGCCCGGTCGCCGTCCACGGTGGGAACGCGGGAGGCCATGGCCGAGGCTCCTGCTGCTGACCGGTGAGTCCTGGGTGGTAGCGCAAGGCCACCTGGAGATTCTCTCTGGGCCAAAGTGGCTTGAGCCAAAATGGCTACGGAGGAAGCATTTTGGGGCCATCTTGTTGCCAACCACGGTCGGCATCAACGACCGGGTCGCGATTTGGAGAATGTTGCTTTGGGGCGCCTGTTGGGACCGTCCTGGGGCCGTTTAGGCCAGTATGAGGGCGTCAAGACGGCACAATATCGATACTGGAATCAACATGTGATCGGACAGCGTAAGTCGTTGGGACGATGTTGGACCGGTTTGGGGGCTCAACACAAACCGACCTGGACGCCCAACATCTGGCGAACAACAGCAAATTAATGCCGAGAGGGGCCGCGTAAGTATTTGCTGGGGATGTCCATCGCGGCGTGATGTTCTGAGGGACTCCGGGAACCGGCACGACCAAACATCGATCCACCTATGAAGACAGAGCATACAAACTTCCAAGACCCATTGGCACGGAGCTACAATTCTGGAATCATAGAAGACCGTTCCTCGAGCATCCACGTGAACCAGGTCGGGCCCGAGACGAGCAGGGAACACGCTATCCCACCAGCCCCGCCCCGCCGTGGGCGCGCAAGCACCCGACCGAGGCGAAGAGCGGAAAAGGAGGGTAAGAGGAGGCGTGGCGGAGCGAGAGCTTCAAGTACGTGCAGTGAGAACGTATAATAAGGACGCGTGGTAAGGACGCGAGACACCCTTGGAGGCCGAAGTTGAAGTATTCTGGGCGGCAGGCGGCCAAACCCCAAGGGAACCTGAGAAACTGGCCTGCGAAAATTGCTAGGGACGGGCCGCTGAGGCTGAGGCAGGCAAGGACCCAAGGGTACCCTTGCAAAAGTCGTTTGTCCTTACTATGAGCGTTGACTGTAACAAAGCAACCCCGCAACAGCCCAAATGACTAGAGCAGAGAGAGGGGGGGGGGAGAAAAGAAGCGGGGGCCGAAAGGCAGCGAGGCAACGGCGCAACAGCAGAGGCAAGAACCCCGCGACGGCGGGCGCAGCACCTGAAACGACTACGGAGGTGGGGGAGGATGAGGAGGAGGAATGCAAAGACAACGACGAGCAATGCAAGGAGGAAGAGGAGTCGGAGGAGGTCAAAATTAATGACAAGAAGAGGACGAGCATGATGAGGACTACGACTCCCCCTCCTCCGCCCCCTCCCTCCCGCATCCCCTCCTCCTCCATTCCCTTATGAACAACTCCTCCCTGTCGCGCCCCGAGGCCAGTCGGAAGGGCGGGCTGGGCGCTTCGCCTGAGATTTCCGTACCACCTATGAGCCTGACGCTTAAAAGCTGGCAACAGTTTCACAGATGGAGGGCGGGTCGCTTCCAAAAATGTGGCTCTCGCCTTAGCGCCGCGCGCATTCGTCTTCAACAGTTGCAGGAGCTTCAGGGATTCAGGGCGGGTGGCTTTCATAACGTGGCTCTCGCCTTAGCGTCACGCAAACTTGTCTTTACAACTTGCAAAAGAGTTTCACGGATTGAGGGCGGGTGGCTTTCAAACTGTGGCTCTCGCCTTATCGCCGCGCGCACCCGCTGTAAACAATTGCGCGGGTTTAACGGATTGATTGCGGGTCGTTTGGCTCTCGCCTTAGCGCCGCGCACACTCGTTGCAACAATGTACAAGGGTTTCACGGGTTGAGGGCGGTTCCTTTTCGAAATGTGGTTCTCACCTGAGCGCCGCGCGCATTTATTTCAAACATCTGCAAACCTGTGATTGATCCTCCGGTCAACGAACAGGAAATAATACAAGGAACGATTCAAGATTGTCAGGACGCGACACTTACGCTGGGTCGCGGTGTTGAAGTCCCAGGGATGGCGTTCTGGTCTAGTTGGGGATCCTCACGACGCAGCAACTTGGTTGATTCGCGGCGATGAACTCCCGAGAATGGTGTTTTGGCACGCTTCAGGATTTTCGCACGGTTGCCCCTAAACCCCCGAAGGGGGCACTTTCCCTCAGTGGAGCTGAATCCTTGCATCGTGGCCTATGACAAGGGAGCTTCGAGGGAGAGTGTGTTCCAGCATCGCTGGTGAAGTTTGCACTGTTCCTCCTCCTCCTCCTCCTCCTCCACCTCCCTCCTCCTCCTCCGCCCTCCTCCTCCTCCTCCTCCTCCTCCTCCTCCTCCTCCTCTTCCTCCTCCTCCTCCTCAATCCCCTCCTCCACCTCGCCCCTCCTCCTGCTCCTCCCTCATCCTACATTGGTGGATTGGCGGGTGTGCCGTCTTGGGAGCCCCTGGCTGACCCGACCTGCTCAAACACAAGACTGCCTGCCTGATTACACCCTTGGCGGTAGAAGGCCTCACACAGCTCTTCTGCAGACGAGATCACTACAGAGAGTGTTATAGAAAGGGCAAAAACGTACATAGCAAGTACCCTAGAAAGAATGGAGACCATGAACATGAGACCACAAAGGAAACCACAAGGACACCCATAAAGGATACCATACGCGAGAGCATACGCGAAACGATGTGGGGAGAGTGAAGCCACAGGCCACAGGGAAGACCAGACGGGAGGCCACAAAGAATACCACAAGGGAGACCATGAAAGGAGACCGTGAAGGAGACCACGGGTCATGAGGGAGACCATCGGAAAGAACACAAGGGAGCCCTTCACGGAAACCGAAAGGGAAACCACACGAGAGACCACACAGGAGAGCATACGAGAGACCATATGGGATAACTACTACATGGGAGACCACACGGGAAACCGCACGGAAAGCCATACGGGAGACCATATGTATAGGGAGCCATACGGGAAAACGCTGGCCACTGGCCACCGATCCTGGATCTGGAATTGCTCTCACCTGGCCTCAGAAGCATTACCAGAGGTTGGGCGGCGAGATCGAAGTGCAACGGATGGCCCCCCACCTGGAAGCAGGTCTCGGTTTCGGGTTCTTGTCGCACGTGCGGGCGCGGCGAAGCTGCGTGAGTGGGCGGAAGAATGACTCCGCTGTGGCTAGGGCGGGTCAAAAAAAAGGACCGCCCCTCCAGTGGGCCGGCTTGGCCGGGGGGGTCCCGCCGTGGTGTCCCGCCATGGTGTCCCGTCGGTGTCCGCCGGCGGTGGCTGGGGGTGTCACGCCGTTGTGTCCCGTCTGTCTCCCGTCGGTGTCCCGTCGGGGTCCCGGCGGTGTCCCGTCGGTGTCCCGTCGGTCGCCAACTCGTGAGCGTATCACCAGCATCGCCACCGTCACAATCATCGCAGTTGTCCTCAGTTGTTCTTCATTTGTTCTTTCCCTCCAACCTCATTATCACCCGAAGGGTTGTCGTATGGAACGCACAGAAGTGTAAGAAACGTCGTCATCCGTGCTTCGGGAAAGAGATTCGCCTTGCTTCCACGTCATCCGTCTTCTCCCCCACATCCTCCTCCTTCTCCTCCCTCTCCCTCCCCCCGCTCTTTGATCCTGCATGCTGCTCCCAGTCCTTCTCCTCCTTCTCCTCCTCCTCCTCATCCTGCTCCATCCTCGCACGTAGCCGAGCGCCACGTGTCTTCAGCCCCGCGACCGCCCGCGTCGAAGCGAGGCACGTCGGAGACCGCGGGGGGGCGGCTACGGACGTGCTCGCCGCGCGTGACAACCGCGCTCCCGGACAAGCGACGAGCCCTCGCCTCTCCGCTCCCGCTCCGAGCAGTGGACGGGATGGACGCCGAGCCGGAGCGACCCGAGGCGTCGCAGACCAGCGCAGGCCATGGAGCTTATGGAGCCCGAGGGCACGGGCACCGCATGCCGCCCGCACCTTGCCAGCTCACGCCTGCGCTCGCTCCCGGCGCCTGCGGCCAGCAAGCTGCCTCGGGAGGCGGCGCGCAGACGGGGACGTCGGGCCAGCGGGCCTCCCGCGCCAGGAAAAAAGCGGGGGCGGCCAAAGAGGGGGGCGTCCCAGAGGAGGGGGGGGCGCAGATCATGGCCGGCAGCATGTGCGCGGCCCAGGGGGAGGGGGGGGCCAGGAACGTGATGAAATAAGGCCAGGCGCCATGAAATCCGAGGAAATATCATGGCCCACGCCGTGATATCCCCCCCCCCCTAGTCATCGCCCCCTCTTTGCCGCCACCGAGAACAATGCGCACCAGAGGTTCTGTGGGCCCCCGGAGAGACGCATCACAGCCGCCGTGCTACCAGAAGGAACGCCGAAGAAAAAACGAACGGGTTAGGTCGGGCGTAGCCCCCTACAGGCGGACTTTGGGCGAATAACAGAAATACTCCAACAAATACTCCCCCAATGCTCAAACATACCCCCAAAAAGCATCCCCTGACTATCTTTCTGCCATCTTTGACTGATCCTCCTGTAGAGGGACAGGCCCGACTTAAAAACGAAGGGCGCCTCTGGCCATGGCGAGCCTCGGCCACGGGTGAGGTCCGCGACCCAGGTCGAAGGGGCGGCCCGCAGCCCAGCGCCCCTCCGGAGCCCGAGGGGGTCCTCACTTCGGCGCACAGACTGTCGGGGAGACGTAAGACTCGGGCACGGGGAAACCGGGGACCTCCTCCCTCCTCCCACCTCCCTCATCCCTCCTCCCTCCTCCCTCCTCCGCCCGTAAGAGTTGGCCCGACGGGGCCGTCATCAAACATGACGCGGCCCGGTCTGAAGTTTGCCGCGAGCTCCCGCTGCAGACATCCCAGGGAAACGGGACCGTCAAAATCCAGGACGCGCTCGTCAACAAAAAAGTTGGCAGACCCGAGTTCTGACTTACTCGAGCCTTACGTTTCCCCGAGACTGTATCACCACACTCCGTGGGGAGATTACACCAGAGAAAAACCCAATGAATGGATGGTTTGATGAGATCGATGGTGAGCTCGACTGAGTGAGATACACAAGGAGATCGATCATGAGATCGGTGATGACTCGTGGGGTCGAGAAAGAGCTCGACAAGGAGATCGACCCCGGGAACCCGGGAACCCGGGAACCCGCAGCTCACCGAAATCGGGCCGGAACCGATGACCAGGAACCCGGGGACCTGGAGCCGGGAACCCGGGAACTCAGCCGGCGACCCAAATCGGCGGGACACGTTCGCCAAATCTTTGAACTTCCGCCAGGACCCCTTCAGTGCGAGCACTGAGTGGGAAACAAAGAACCTGGTGGCTTTCTGAATGATTGTCCCCTGACCTTCCAGAGAGCTATTTTCTAGCACGGGAGGCCTAAAAACCTGAAAAACGAAACGAAACAGCCTGAAACCAAGACATATAATAGCTCTGGAATAGGTTTTTGAGCCGCGTGCTATTTTGTAGCCCTCCTGGAATGTCAAGGTCGCTTGGGCACTGGGCGCTGCAGTGCCAGACCGACGCGTGCACACGGACCCCCCGGCTCGTTCCCGGCGCGCGCGGCGCCTGTGTCCACCCCTCCGTCGGTCACGTCCGGGTTCTCGTACACGCCTCGGCGGGGAGTGGCGCACTTTGGGTGAACGAGTCCAAAACTATCCGACGCTCGGGGACATGTCCCTTCCAATCCTTCTCCTTCTCCTCCTCCTCCTCCTCCTCCTCCTGCTCCTCCCTCGGGCCCTCCTCCTCCACCTTCTCCGCCCACGTTTCCTTCTCATCGTGGGGATGCCCTGATACGGCCTGGAGACAAAATCTGATATTACAGAAATTGTCAACCTACCATGGGCCCCACAGGACTCCCGAAGGACTCCTATGGACTTCAGACGTTCATGTGGACTCCCACGGCCACGTATGGATTCTAGGACTCCTACGGCCTCGCATGGACGCCAACGGTTCTTGATAGAATCCTGCACCATTCGAGTACCCCCGCGGAAAGGCTCCTGCGAACGCCGATCGAACCGCACCATCCAGTGGGGGAGCAGAACTGCGAGCCGCAAGACTGTCGCCACGTTCGAAGGCTGCCAGGGGCCTAGCGCAGTGGCGACATACGGGGATTCATATTCATAGCATGAGAAAAAAAACTACATAAACCAGAAACTTGTGGCGCTCCGCGCGGATTTCTTGGATTCGCGCTGGACCCCCCTCCCTGGCGCGCGGAGCGCGCCGCCGGCGGGCCCAGGCGCGGATCCAAGAAACCCGCGCGGAGCGCCAAAAGTTTGCTCATGTGGCTTTCTCTTCTTCTAATTCGAATTTCGAATATTTCTAATTCGAATTTCGAATATGTATGTTTCGAATGCGAATTCGAAATTCGAATATTCTTCTAATTCGAATTTCGAATCATGCCTGGGAATGACTGCGAATTTCGAATATGTCGCCTTTCGATTGCTGCTGCTGGGCTCGACGCAGTGACGCGAGACGGGGACTCGGCTTGGACAGCGCCACCCCTGGGGGATGCAGACCGCGAAAATGTCGCCCCTTCCGATGGCTGCTGGTGGGGCGGGGCCAGCGCAATGACGCCATACGGGCACTCAGGTTAGAGCTCACGATCCCTGGGGGGTGCGAACTGCGAAGCTATCACCACTTTCGAGGGCTGCTAGGTGGCCCAGCGCAGTGACACCTTACGGAGATTCAGACTCGACCTCGTCATCCCTGGGGGGTGCGAGCTGCGAAACTGTCACCGTCCCCACGTCCGAGGGCTGCTGGGGGAGGAGGGGGGGTTAGGGAGGCAACATTGTGACTGGCTAGCCTTTCCGAGGGCTCGCTCGTTTCCTGCACTGGTCATGAGAGGTTGATCACTCGGGACGCCAAGGCGACATGGCGTCGGCGTCGCTGGCCACCAGCGATCCATTCGAAAAATCGTCATCCTCATTTGTCATCCCTGCTGCATGGTTGTCGTCCTCTTCCTCCTCTCCCCCCCTGCTGCTCCTGCGCTGACTTTTCGGCCATCCGTCCGTCCTCCTCCCCCCCCCTCGTTCCCTTCCCCTTCCCCTTTGAGCCTCGGGCCCCAATCCTCGCCTTTCATTGCTGCCTCCTGAGTCGTGCCTCGCGCGGGCGCACCTTGCAGCTTTGCGCAACAAACGACACGTCTTGGGTTGCCATCATTGAAGGGGCCCTGGGACACACAAATAAATACACACAAATAAAAATATTCCCCATATTTGCCCATATTCTGGGCTTCTGTCTTCCCCCCCACTTCCCATATTTTTCCATATTTTCCTGGGGGTCGACGATTATTAATTGTGTCTGTGTGTTTTCCCCCCCCCTGAATCATCCATAACAAGTGGAGCGAACTACTCTGGTCGGCGGCGAGACCGGGGGGGAAGTGAGCAGAGGCGGGCCTTCTCAGAAGGCGTGGAAGCCCCCCGGGCCATTCCGAAGCTTCTTTCGCCCTCCCGGGAGACGCAGAAAGCTGTTTATGAAGGGGCCCCAGGACACACAAATAAATACACACAAATAAACCTTTTCCCCATAGTTGCCCATATTTTCTGGGTTTCTGTCTTCCCCCCCACTTCCCATATTTTCCCATATTTTCTGGAGAATCGACGATTCATTGCGTCTGTGTGTTTCTTTTCCTCCTGAGTTTCGACGGCGCCAGGGCTGCTGAGAAGTCCCGCCGTCTTCTGGGAAGGCCTTCTCCTTGGCATTTCCACCCCTCGCTCGCCGCCGATCTGGTCACCTGGTGCACAGTGGTTGGGCACGTCGCAGCGAAATGTTGGGGATCAGTTGGGCTGGTGCGCTGCTTCAAGCTCCACCGCTTGATTACTGTTGTTTTGTTGTGTCGACCCAGTGTTGGCGGGGAGAGTTGGAGAGAGTCAGCACCCAGCTGGAGCAGGTGGAGGAGGATGAGAAAGGGGAGGTGCAGGCGATGGAATAGGAGGCGGGAGAGGAGGAGGGGAAGGACGAGAGAGAGAGGGGGGCGACGAGAGGCAATGAGAATGTGGGAAGGACGAAGGCCTTGAAGCCAAATGGATCGAATAATTAGCGAAGAGAGGCGGGTCCTCATGGGGTGGTGTCGCGTGCCTCTAAATAACGACCTGTTCCTCCAGAAACAGCGCCGAAGACGATCCGACGGCAACGCGCACACACACATACACACACACACACTGCTCACACACACAACACACAAAAACACACACACAACATACACAGGCAGGCACACAAGCAGAACCAAAGAAGCAGACGTGGGCGCAGTAGAGCACAAGAGAAGCACCACCATCGGCGCGCATCGAGTCTCGCCGCCCATGTACTAGAATGGGCACGCGGCATGACGGATGTCAGAAGACGAACGATTCTGCGACTGTTCCGTTTCGACTCGGCTCCTCGAGCGAGGTGAACCCCACCCTCCCCCTCAGAAATCGTGGGGGGTGGGGATTAGGGTTCGCCTGTGGCCCTCTATCAGCCCGTTCTGGGGCAGCCCCCCCCCCCGAGGGCGGGGGGTGCCTCCCTGCGGGGGGTTGGCGGAGTTGTAGGACGACGCCAGCAGCGTCAGCGTCTTGCCTCGCGCCGCGGGGGGGGGGCATCCGCGGGATCGGCGAGCGGGAGGCCCGCGAGGGGCACCCCGTCGGACCTAGAATGAAGTCGGGCCTGTCCCCCGACAGGGGGATCTTCGACGGAACAAAAGAAAGACTCCAAAGATACCCCGAAGTGGTCAAACATTCACCAAACATAGTCTCCAGACATATTTTTACTATTTTGGAAGATTCCTCCCGTAGAGGGACGGGCCCGACTTAAACCCAGAACAGAAGAACATCCTTCAAGAACATGAGACTCTCCGCCGGCCAAAGCATTTCAAACCACTAGGGAGAAACAACGGCATGCACATCAACTCGTGACGCTCCGCGCGGATTTCTTGGATCTGCGCGGGACCCCCCTCCCTGGCGCGCGGAGCGCGACAGGCGCGCCGGCGGGGCCAAGCGCGGATCCAAGAAATCCGCGCGGAGCACCGAAAATTTATGTTTATCGGAGGTGAAGGGGTGAGATTGAAGTGGAACGGAGAGCCCCCCTACCGGGAAATCGGTTTCGGTGTCGTGTTCGCGCGTGCCGTGCGTGCGGGCGAGGCGAAGCTGCGTGGGCGGGCGAGAAATAAGTCTCCTGTAACTGAAGAGCGGCCAGACCAAAAGTCTCCGTTCCGGCAACCGGTGCCCCGCGGTGTCCCGCCGGTGTCCCGCTCGGGGGCCGGTGGCGCGCGGTGTCCCGCCGGTGTCCCGCCGGTGTCCCGTCGGTGTCCCGATGATGATGATGATGATGATGATGATGATGATGCTGATGATGATGATAATGATGATGATGATGATGATGATGATGATGATGATGATAATGATAATGCTGATGATGATGATGATGATGATGATGATGATGATGATGATGATGACGATGACGTTGATGATGTTGACGATGATAATGAGAATGATGATGATGATGATGATGATGGTGATGGTGGTGATGATGATGGTGTCCAGATGATGATGATATTGACGATGTTGATGATGATGATGATGATGATGATGATGGTGGTGATGATGATGCCCCGATGATGATGATGTTGATGATGATGTTGCTGATGATGATCATGGTGTTGATGATCCTGATGATGTTGATGATGATCATATGATTTGATGATGATGATGATGAAGATGCTGATGACGATGATGATGTCCCAGTGATGATGTTAAAGATGATGAGATGATTATGATGCTATTGATGATGATGATGATGATGGTTTCCCGAAGATGATGATGATGATAATGACGGTAATGATGACGATGATGGTATCCCGATGATGATGATGATGTTGATGATGATGACGATGAGGTGATGATGATGATTTTGATTGATGGTGGCCCAATGATGGTGATGATGATGCTGATGTTGATGATGATGGTGTCCCGATGATGTTTATGATGATGATGGTGATGATGATGGAGACGATGATGATGGTGTTCCGATGATGATGTTGATGATGATGATGCTGTTGCTAATGATGATGATGATGATGATGATGAGGATGATGATGATGATGGTGTCCCGATGGTGAGGATGATGTTGATGATGTTGTTCATGATCATGATGATGAAATGATGATGGTGATGGTGGTGTTCCGACGATGATGATGATGAGGTGTCTCGATGGTGATGATGATGATGATGGTGACGATGATGGTGTTCCGATGATGATGATGGTGATGATGATTTTGATGATGATGGTGATGAGGTGATAATGATGATGGTGTCCCGATGATGCTGATGACGATCATGATGATGATGATGTTGATAACGTTGATGAAGATGCTGTTGATGATGAAGATGACGTTGATTATGATATCGATTGTGATATCGATAGTGAGACCGATAGTTAGACCGAATGTGAGATCGATAGTGAGATCGATAGTGAGATCGATTGTGAGATCGATTGTCAGATCGATTGTTAGATCGATCGAATGAATTATATCGAGTAAGATCGATTGTGAGATCGATCGAGTGAGATCGATCGAGCGAGACCGATGGTGAGATCGATACTGAGACCGATCGAGTGAGACGTTGGTTCCTCCCCCCCCGAACCTCCTTATCACCCGAAGGGTGGTCGTATAGGTAGTGTTTTTCGGATTCGAATCCTTCAAGAACATGAGACCCTCCGCCAGCCAAAACGCCTCAACCGTACGATCACGCGATGGTGCCCTCCCCCAGGAGGTGCAAAACAAATATCAAGTGCAAACGCGAAGAGCATTCGGGCACCCTCCCCGAACCGACCTCGGTCTTAGACCATCGGTCCGACTGTACTGGAGCAGACACCAGCAGCAAAACACGACCTCCCCCGAGCGCTCCAGAGAGCCAGGCTGCCCCAGGATCGGCCCAGCCATATAGGAGACGCCACGACTTCGAGCCCCCGCCCGTCCACACGCGCAGGCGCAGGGCCTCTCGCAAGTCCGCCCCGCTGGGCCCCCCTTCGGCGGCGAGCCCAGGGGGGACGTGAGCAGCGACGGGCCTTCGCAGCAGGCTCGGAAGGCCCCCGGGGCCTTCTGAGAAGTGTTCTATAGGCCTTTCTCGAAGACGGAGCAGACCTCTCAGAAGGCACGAGGGCTTCTGAGAAGTCCAGCCGCCATGTGAGAAGGCCTGCTCCTTCTCACTTCCCCCCCCCTCGCCGCCGACCCCGCCCTGGTGCGCGCTATGGGCGCCAGGGAGGGGAAATGGGGGCCCATTCCTGTGCCTGCAGGGCCGAGCCGCGGACGGGAGGGCGGCCGAAGCCCTTGGTGAAACGCACGATGCCGGCTGGACTTCCGCACACATGCCGGAAACCTGTCCGGCTACACGCAAGAGTGATCCTGGGTAAGGGTGACCTTTGGTGCGCGGCTTTTGGGGGGCCGCGGAGGGGGGGGGCCAAACTCAGGCGCGCAAGACGCTACCGTCGCCTCGCAATCGGTGATCGGGAGAACCCACTACGCCCGCACCAAAAGGTGACTCCGGCGAAAGGTCACCCTCACGTGTAGTCGACCTGTGCAAAACCATATATTTTTTCCGGGGGATGTATCCCACGGCGCCGCCGGGCCGGAAACTGAAACCATTCCCGTACAAAAAACAAGGGAACGCTGCCCTCCTGCAGGTGTCGCCCTTGTCGCTGCGGTTTCTGCAACATCTACGGGGTGTGGCGACAAGGGCGCCACCCGTGCGCGGACTGCGACCTGTTCGGCGCGAGGAAACGGCATGTACCACATGGTCACCACGAAGTGCCCGCAAGGGCAGCATGATCCAGATAACCCACATCACCAGACCAGCACGGGCCGCATGGGATGAAAAAGGCCGCAAGGCCCCCTCAGAAACTGGCCCTGTTGCAAGTCGGCCCCGCGCCAACCAGGCGAGCAGCCCAACGAGTGCTGAGCCGACCAGACCAACCAGCCAACCATCCAGATCCTCATGTGTGTTTTAAATGTCTGATGTTTGAAACCATGTTTTCCTGTTTGTACAGATTTGCAAGTTGTAATTTGAAAAAGTCGTTTGGTCGGCATCGTGAATTTGTCTCTTAACCATTTGCTCGCACTTTTGTCTTGGCGCGTCCCGCTGTGAGTGCCTGGGTGGGAGCGCATGAGCCTGTGGTTACCGAGCGCTCCCCGGCGGCTCCCCCTCGAGGTGCCGGAGCGGCACGCACGCCACATCGCGACGGCCACAGGATTCCGAACAGGGAGAGGGCCCGTGGGCGCCAGAACCAAAATTTCATGCGTGGCGTCCCCATACTCTGGCAGCGAGCGGGCACACGCAACACGCATTGTGTGTGGGTGTGGAATTATTGTGTGCACATGAGCGTGAATATATGTGCATATATACATATACACATATTTAAACATATAGCATAAATACCGATTTATAAAGTATAACACCCCGCACTCCCGGATGAGAGTGCGGGGGCGGCGGGGACGTCGGCAGTGTGCGAAATTCCCCCCGAAAAAAAAACGCTGCAAGCGCCGAATCTTTACATATTATACAATGAGCCTGTCGCAGGCGCCGGTTTTTCGTTCAAGCGATGTGGGTGGGTCACGGGGTGGGTCACGGGTGGGTCGCGGTTGGGTCGCGGTTGGGTCGCGGTTGGGTCGCGGACCGGGTCGCGGGTGGGTCGCGGGTGGGTCGCGGGTGGGTCGCGGGCGGGTCGCGGGGTGGGTCGCAGGTGGGTCACGGGTGGGTCGCGGGTGGGTCACGGGCGGGTCGTGGGGTGGGTCGCGGGTGGGTCGCCAAAGGGTCGCGGGGGGGACGACAACAACACCAACAACAATCATTCTAAGACTGTTCGCTCTTACTTGCCCTTGTGTCATTCAAAACGAGTTCCCCACACCCTCGATACCCGCCCTTTTTGTCTTCGATCACACCCCCTTTGGGGAGATTCTTTCTCTTTGCGGGGGGCGGCGGGCTTAGAGAGGCGGGCAAACCTGAGCGGGCGGACAATCCTTCGTGGGCGTACATGTGCCCGCCATTGGAATTGGTGTGGGCCCTGCAAAAAGAGGAGGGGCAAAACGAGGGAGAGCGAGAGGAAGGGAGGGGAAGGGACGAAGGAAGAGGGAAAACGACAGGAGAGAAGGAGCGAAGAGGGGGGCGGTTGATTAGAGGCAGAGAAAGAAAGAGAGAGAGAGAGAGAGAGAAAGAAAGAAAACAAGACAGATAAGAGAGGCAGAGAGAGAGGGGGGAGAGAGAGAGAGAGAGAGAGAGAAAACACAAACAAGAGAGGGGAAGGAGGCAGGAGAGGGGAGGGAGAAGGGAGGAGGGAGAGGAGGGTGAGGGGATAGGGCAGCAGAGGGGCATAAGGATGAAGGAGGAAAGGAGGGAGAGAGAAGGGAGGAGGGGAGGGAGGAGGGAGAGGGAGGAGGAGCAGGAAGGTAAGAGCGTGAACGTTCGAGGAAGTCCTACGCGAAAGCGCTATTCCTGAAGGAAGTCTCGGGCGGGAGCCCACGACGGGCGGGTGATCCCCTGACGGGCGAGTCGGGCGGGTGTGACATTCAAGCGGGATGCCTGAGCATG